ATAAGATATGCGTGCTCAAGAATCAATATAACGAGCATTGATGTTTGAAAGGCGAAAATAATTATTATGGGAAGTCATCAATATCCTTCTCTTGTTTTTAACATGACTTTTTTATATATATTATATATTTTTTAAAATGATTGACGTAAATTATAAATTAAGTAATTTCATAAATGTTTTTATATTTCATATGGATATCTTCAAAACATATTCATTATATTATAAGTTTTGGTATTTTTTTTAATTTAATATTTAATGTGAAAATAATAATCTAGACTCAAGTATATATATAAAAAAAATTGTGTTCAAAATAGCTATATTTTTATCATTTTTTTTTCATAAATCTAGAAAAAAAAAGCTTTACAAAAATATAATTCAAATTTTAAAATATAATATCATGAATGAAAAAGCATCCGCATCTAGACGAAATCCCGTATTCCCTACCCGCATAAGAATGTTATTTGCGGCAAACAGCCAACCAAAATGCTCCCAAAAAAAGGTCTAGTTGTGCAAATAATTCTCCTCTGTAATCTGTTTTCTTCTCAATGTAGCTTTCGAACATGACGCCGTGGATCGAATCGATCCGGCCCACCACCATGCAGCGGTCGGAACTGAGCCGGACAGCGAAACACCACTCCTCCTCCACGTTAATCTCGCCGGTATCCTCACCATCGGCACTCTCGGCTATTCTCACCCACTCTTTCTCCCTCACGCCCCTGAAGAGCCAACGCTGGATTTGCCGGAGAAAGACATTCAGGCGGCGGCAAAGCTCCCGACACGAATAGCTCTGACACCGCCGGTAACTGAATCGTTGGTGATGAAAACAGAGCACTCTGCCGTTAAGGTGCATGCTGCTGAAGAGAAGATAATGGCTGAGCCCTTGCTGAAGGAAGACATGGAGAGGAAGGAGAGAACGACGCTTGGGGATCTGTTAGCCATCGAGCGAGCTGTCAATTGGTGCGATCAGCCTCCAGCTGTTACCGGCTCAACGTCGAAAAGCACATCTGCTTCGGATTTGAAGAAAGGTGGAAAGGAGAAGAGGAAGAAGGGGGGAGAATTGGAATTATCAGAGTTACAGAGTCCAGCTGCTACTGAAAGGATACAGAGAGTAATGTTTTCTAAGCATTCTTTGATGGTTTTTTTCGCTTGAATTTGTGTTCTGTGCAGCGAAGTTTATAATTTTCGACCGTTGGCGTGGTGATGTGACAGATGATAAAGAGGATGCTGAAGAAGAAAATACATCCGGAGGCGGCAGCGACGGCAAAAAAGGGCAGAGGAGCGGCAG